TTGAAGTTAGTGTATTTCCCAAACGCATATACACTAAAAAAATATTTTCGGAACAGACAAATTTATGTTTACCTCCACAAAAGCCTCGAAAACGCCTGGCCCCTGCCCTCTAGACTCGTGAAGCCGAAACGCTGCTTCGTTGGACATCCTTGACAATTATGTCGCCTGGGTACAGAAACGCGGTTGGACAGTTTTAGTACACATACTTAATACTAAATGGATAACAAATTATACCATTCGAGTATCTTACCACATATCTTTGAAGCGAGGCTCTCTGTAGTTGTGTGTCGTCCCTAGTGGCAACGTCGTACACATCTTCGATCACATCTTCCTCTGAGTCCTCGTCAATCGCCTCCTTAGTGTACGGGGGCTTGATATGTGTCCTCGTAGACCTGTGAAGCCACCGCAGGTACTCGTCGAAGGTGTGCTGGTCGTGTGGGGGACCCGCATGGACCGGCTATCGGTCCCTGTTCTACCACAACTGGATGTACTTGTTGTGTGTCACACGCCAATCCTTGGTCTTATACCTCTTCCTACGGTCATACCTGCAACAAAACGATGTTAGTTGTACCACACACACCTCTTAATTGTAGCTTTGTTGTTAATCGATAACGCACCCGTGCAATTCTTGGTTGGTGGAGTAAAGCGGTGGTGGGTTGCCTGTCATTCTTCCAAACTGCCTGCAAACCTTGATGGGCAAATGAATCTCGACCACGTGGAAGAAAATAAGAGGGACATTGCAGCGATACTCGTCTGACTCATCCCTAATGACAGGACTCAGATAGTACCCGAGCTCCGGAGCATCCCAATGATACCAATGCACCTGAACATTTCGTAATTGAGTTAGGTTGTGATATAGTGTACATCAAACAAGACATATGTATGATAGTAAAGAGAGCGTAACATGGTGCTGTGCCAGGACGCCGAGACCATCCATGTACTCCGTGTACTTGCGCCTCGCATTCTCTCTAACTAACTCTGCTTCCATCCAGATATACAGAGCTGTAGAGAGTGTATCCTCCCCGTTCCAATGTTGCATTGAACACGATAATGAATTAGCCATTAATAATTTAATCATATGTAACTGCCTCAAAGAATATAGTGAACCAAAGTACTTACTGGTAAACTAGTAGCAAGAGGCCTCATAATGGGCCATCGTTCCCAACACCAAACCTGGAGTAGGTAGGAGCAACCCCAAGGTTCGCATACCCTGAGGTGCGACGGCAGGCAACGCATAGCTATCGATACGTCCATGCCAGGGCTGCGCTGCCCTAGCTGTATGTCGCTATGTTCTCCCATGACTAGCGTAGTATGTCAAGGAAGATCGAGCTGTTGGTGTTGCCTAAGGCGTCTGGGAATAGGAAAGCACCAAGGAAGTGCCAGAGCCACACTCTAGCGAACATGTCGATCTGAGCCTCATCAACCTGTGGGTCCAAGTAATCAAAGCGCTCTGTGATCTAGGACGATGAAACACCAAAACTTTTCCTGAAATTCACCAAAGAAAATGAGACCCGATGGCTGTAGGAAAGCAATGCAAGTATTAAATAGGCTTGAATTGCTCACTTATTTTTCTTGGCAACCTCATCATCCGGTGGAAAAAAGCCAGTGAACCGAGCCACCAGCTCCCTCCAGTGATCGTTGTCAACTATAGCTGTCACTGGAAGTTCCCCCAACCGAAGGCCAAAGATAGCCTTCACGTCCTGCATGGTCAAGGTCATCTCGCCGCAAGGTAGGTGGAACGTGTAGGTCTCAGGCCTCCACCTATTATAAGAATAGAATGACTGTTAGTTGCTTCAAATTTGTTATAAGAATGTTTACGTACAATGAAGGCACTCGCACCTGTCTACAGCTGCGGTAAGTAGTACTGGGTCAAGGGGCGAAAGACCGTAGTTGACAACACGGATAAGCTCGAGAAAGCCGGCACGCCGTATGTACGGCGCGTAACGCTCGCCCCACTAGTGCGCCCTGGTGTGCGTGCGGGACCTCAAAGGAGGCAAGGCCACCTCTACGTCGGTGTCACTCAAGATGTGTGCTCGGTGCGGCTCGTTGTACTCCACCTCAAGAAAGGGGTACAACGGGTGCTGCATGGGAGGGGCCATCCTGTTATAAATTGATAAACAAAGGGTTAGAGTATTCAAATTAACAATATTCAAATTAACATTATATAGCATTGCAAAATTTGAACTACTTGTTATGCAATAGAAACACAATATGAAAAGCACATGTATATATTCAAAGTAACATTAACATACATATTAAACAACTTCACTAGAAAATAAGCATTTGACGAAACTTTATCAAGTCATCCAAATCGCCGTATCGCGCACTACTAAATACCGGCACTTGAAAACTAGTATCTATACTGACAACCTTTACTACTATAAACTAACTAAATAATAAATACCTAATCAATCCCTAAACCCAAAATCCTAACTAACAGTAGCCTAAACCTTAATTACCTAACCAAACCTTAACTATACTACAACACATAACCTAAACCCTACAAACTACCTACCTAAATAAACAAATTCACTAACCTAATTATCCTAAATCACGAATCCTAACTAAAACAACAATCATAATAACATAAAATCGAGAGAGGGAGCTACCTTATCTTGATATGAGCGTGGCGTCGGGCCGTGTCGTGACGCGTCGGCGTTGGCGGGCCTGCTGCGGCATGCGCTGAGGCTGCGAGTGTGGGCGGCGGCGGCGGGCGGCGGCCGCTCAGGCTGCGGGCGCTGTCGGCGGGCAACATTCTTGACGACGGGGGCAGGCGGAGCTATCTGGCGCAGCGGAGAGATGCGCGCGTTGCGCGACATGCGGCAACCAGGCAGCGTGATGAGGGGGGGGCGCGCTCGTGGGCGATATTTACATGGGCCTACCGCGTCGTGGGCTATAGCACGTCACTGCCGTGTCAAGATCGATGGCGCGACAGACCCTGCCACGTCACCTGTCAGTAGCCTCGGTCGTCGCCACGTCATCCTCCTGCCGCGCCACCATGCATAGCGTGGCACAGGTGTTTCGCCGCGCTATGGCAATAGGCGCGGCCAAAAGTGTTAGTTTTGAAGAAAAAAACAGTGTTAGATTTGAAATTAGTTTACAAGAAGTGTTAAAATTAAAAAAAATCGCCATCCATCCGCTCTCCCGCCGTCCGGCCGTCCCCAGCCCAACAACACGCTTTCGCCAATCGCGTTCAGGGGCGGGCCTAGGCCTAGGGCCACTGCCCTAGTCTCGGTCCAATAATCCCAGGTAACCCTTCTTAGGGCCTGTTTGGAACGCAGGAATTTCACAGGAATTACGCAGGAATTTCACATGAATCAGTTCATTTTCACAGGAAAAAGTACAGGAACGGGAAAAAATCCCGCATTCCAAACAGGCCCTTCGTATTTGGCCCATGAATCATACGTTGGCCCATGTAAATCTCAGCCACAAGGCCGACTAGGTCACGCTCACTCAGCAGACGCACTTCAGGCATCGCCGCCCACCTGCTCAAGGCTTCCCGCGGCTCCGGCCTCTCGCCCGCCACGCCGCCAAGAAGCCACTGCTCGCCCAGTCTCAAGGCTACAGAGGCTTGCTCAGAGTCTCTGCCATGGCCATCCCGGCTCCCCGTGCCCCCACCACCACGCCTCACGGCAGCACCGCGCTCTGCAGTGGCTCGGCAAGTCTGCAGCTGGACATCGCATCAAAGACACCAGCGCTCAGATGGCTGCAAAGCAGCAGGACATCACCAGGGGAGAAGCCAAGCCGCAAAGCAGGCGGTCCCCTACCCCCCTACCTACCCGATCCACATCCGGCCGGACGGCCAATCTATTTCTATATATTCTAAATTTGAAACCTCTAGGAATTATGACTGTTCTATTGAGGCGTCAGTAGTTGTATACATAATACATTCACTGATTCAAATGGATTGGAAACTCAAATTAGAGTCTAAATTTACTGATAGCTCAGATGATACAAATACACAATGAAGACGACCAAAACATCTCTATATGATGACATCTTACATCATTTTTCAAGAATTGAGGTCCAACAATATTTTTTTCTTCTTATGTTACAAGTTAATGTTTTGAACTGCTGTAGAACACTATAAGACATGTTAGTTCAAGCAGCCTTTTCAATTTGAAAACTTTTATCATATTGCTCTTCTCCATATATGACTTATATGTGTCACTAAAATGTGGCCCTAATCTTCGTCAAATCCTGGGTCCACCACTGGCCCCACTTGATGTGCATTGTAGATTCTCAGCAATTGATTAGTGATTTAATGACATATTGTAGCCAACTCCACATGTCGAGAAAAACATTTTTGTGCTCACATTTTTTTAGTTCAAGCAATGCCAATATTAGTGGTACTTCCCTGAGTGCATATCAATGCTTTAGAACGCAAGGCTTGATCTTTAATTGTTTATTATTGGCCCATTATAAAATTGTACAAAGCTTCTCCAATATACTAATTAATCCATTAAAATTGTCTCATAACTAAAGTTTATGGATTTTGGGACTGCAGAACTGATGGATTCCAACAAATGTAACAGACCTATAGTAGGGATGCTAGGCCAAAGAGTTAAAATATACTCCATCTGTTCCAAATTATAAGGTGTTTTGTTTTTTTTCTAGATACATTGCATTTACTATGCATCTAGACATAATGTATATCTTATAAAAAAAAGACATAATGTATATCTAAGTGCATAACAAAAGCTATGTATCTAGAAAAGCCAAAATATCTTATAATTTGGAACCGAGGGAGTATTATATGGTAGTATATTTCATAACCGTAGTAGCTTCAACCTTATATAGATTAATCATGAACTTTTAGTTGTATTAAACAAATAAGTTGGGTATGTTCATTGTTGTAGAACTAAGTTTGTTGTGAATTTGTGAATGTATATATTTGCGCATGAAACTGCTTTGGATTTGGACTAGCAAATTGTATTTATGAGATATGTTTGTATCTTCCTTATAGTTCAGCCCTGCCTATATTTGGTCAAGATTCAAGTATGGCTTCTGCCGGGTTGGCTGGGGTGAGCGGTGCGGCTTGCCCTCTCATGAGGCTCGTCACTATGAGCAGCGTGCCGATCCTGCAGCAGCTGCACCTGGAGGAGCAGCTCCTGCGCTGCACGCCAGAAACTGGTGCATCATCAATGACGGCACGGCCCCTGCTACCATTGTCATGGGTGTGTCTGGGTATAAACTAAACTCCTCTAGGATTTTGTCAGGAAGGATGATTCAATCGTGCATCAGCCCCCTTGTCGACTTGCTAATTTGGTTTTGTGTGATGGCAGGAGAGTTTCAGAGCTTGTCGAGATACAGCCTGTCCTTCGGGACCAGGTGCCAGTCGTGAGGAGGTTCAGTGGAGGTGGCACCGTCATTGTTGATCAGGGAACGGTGTTTGTGACTTTCATTTGCAACAAGAATGCCGTTACTGGGCTGCAGCCCTTTCCACGGGACATCATGTCATGGAGTGGTCAGCTATATGGCAAAGTTTTTGACAGATTTGGCGAATTTCATCTACGTGAGAATGGTATGGAAAATCAGCACCAAGTTTCATCATTTGCCAGCTTAATATTCTATTTCTTACAGTGAGCGAAAATCCCATGTTCGAATGCATTGTATCCCAGTATGTCCTTTAAGGATAGAAAACTATGGCTTTTGTTCTTACATTTAAGTGGACATAGTTTACTATCCTTCGTTTAACATAATCTATTTCTAGATAACAAAATTCAAATTTACATTCGTCGATGATTACCTTGTCATCAGCATGTATCCGAATATGTTGGGAAACTGATTTTCAGTGCTGAGGATCTGCATTACTGTCCAAGTGATTAACTTATTTTGCATTTGTTTTTTCAGACTATGCATTTAGTCATCGAAAATTTGGCGGAAATGCTCAGTCAATAACAAAAAATCGTTGGGTTCATCACACATCGTTCTTGTGGGATTATGATGTGAAAAAATATGGATTATCTCAAAATCCCAAAGCGTGCACCTGAATATCGACTGGTATGATCCTATCTGTTTTTGTCTTGATCTGATTTTCAGCATCCTTTGTGCATAGGAATTGAGAATGATGTTTAGAATGAGCTTCTCCAATGAGACTATCAAATTTGAGCATCTTTAGTTTTGATATATGTTACTCATAGGTAATCAGGTAGGAAACCTGTACATCAGTAGTGTGCTATCATTACCGCTGGTGCCTGAACAATTGATCTGTAAAACACTGAACACCCTTTACAAGTCTCTGTTAGTTTTTGCCAGATGGTGTCATAATGTTTTCCGCCTGTGACCGGAAGGTCTCGAGTTCGAGTCGCGGTCTCCTCGCATTGCATAGGCGGGGGTAAGGCTTGCCACTGACACCCTTCCCCAGACCCCGCACAGAGCGGGAGCTCTCTGCACTGGGTACGCCCTTTTTGTCATAATGTTTTCCATAACTACCTGAAGTCAACTTTTGCCCCTTATTGGAGTGAACTATCAATAATTGTTGTGACCCTTGATCTGGTAAGGCCCAAGAACTGGTTGAAGTTGGTTAATCATGGCTTACTTTACCAGCATTAGTGATTACTGCATGTGTATATATTGTGTAAGAAAAAGTTTTAACAGTGATTGCCAGACCAAAGAGTTGAGCAGCACTAATACTGAAGCCTGGAGAGTTAAATGGGTTTTACTGTAAATGCTTTAGTATATTGAAACCTGAAAAGTTAGATGGGTTTTACTGTAAGTGCTTTATTGTTGTTCTTGAATGATAACCTAGAGGAGATGAAAAGTGCTGGGTAGTAATAAAGCAGTTTGGTTTTTGATCAATTATTGGATGCAAGGATCTGGCATTGCACAAAATAGTCCAATGATGACCAGTGGTGTCAGACAGCAGCTTGGCTATGCTAGTTGATTTGTGGTGGAACTTCGACTGTGGAAGTATTGCCTTGTAATGGCATGGATTGCCAAAACTCCATGCAATCATTGACCCACTTTACACAAGAACGAGCTGTAACTGAATAATCATCGAGTTTGTGATGTGGACTGAAGGTAGAGTGTGAAGTTTTTAAGGGCAAACTGTCGCACTCGGGCCTAGACCAGAGTTGATGACTATTGTTATGACTTTCATCGATATGTATCGATATGTCTGAAGAGTTAGAGCTGTCATTTGGAACTTTCTGGGTACATATAAACAATGATTAAAATGTTGAGAACCAGCCAGTAATGCTGCAAATGATATTGGTTTCACCACGGGCTCTTAGGTCTTAACTATCTTGATTCTTGATCCAGTTTTTGCGTGGAAATGGTTCCATGGATTATGGCTGGGAATGGGCCTGCTTCTTTATATATAGAAACTTAGGGGGTGTTTGGTTTGTAGAATGAAGTTGCCAATCATGATATCACTCTCTAGTTTTTTTGTTTAGTTTGTGGAATAGAATGAGTTGACTCATTACCATGAGCTAATAATTAGTACTAGCATGAGGAATGAGGTCATTCCACTAAATTTGAGGAATAGATTAATGATGCATCACCTCATAGTATGGATTGATTCCCCAAACCGAACACTCCATTAATGCATGATTTTTCATTTGTACTCAAAATACCTTCAGCTTTGGAAATCTTGCAGTTGAACTGTACTTATTTCTGTGACAGTACCACTCATGTTCCTGGTTGTGTATGTTTTACACTTGAACTGAGCCTATTTCAGATATATGGTATGACTCATTTTTTTACAGTTGAGATTTACGAAAGGTGGTTGCCAACTCAAAATGTTCACCATTAATGTAGATTTCTCATTTTCTTTCCAGGCAAGAAACCACACAGATTTCTTGTGCCGCATGAAGGAGTATATACCTTCGCGGTCAGTTTTCACCGATGGGGTCATTGCGGCCCTGGGAGAACACTTCTCAGTTCAGCCCATGGATCTACAAGCAATTCTTTCCAGTCATGAAGAATTCGTGCCTTCTACAAAGCTGGTGTCACAACAAGACCTAGAGGAAATTGTTTCCTCCAAAGAATCCTTCAGAGTATAGAAAGTGGAAGCATGACCATGATTGTTGTTTTTTGTTGTGAAATCTAAGCAATTAACGGTGAGCTATGAATTCATTCAACTTTGAGTCTGACATTATGGTCACTGAACCACTGACATTGTTTTTTCAAAACCCAGTACATATGAATATCCCCACACACACACACACACACGCATGCGCATCATATTCCTATGAACATCTCTAAGAGACTGAGCTGGACTCACAAATTTCGAAATTGATAAAGTCTTGTAGGCGTTGCTGTTGATAGACATTGAAAAAACGATGTCGTTAAATTAAATACAAGAAAATACAGGCGGTCGTGCTAAGCCAAAGACTTAAACCCAAATAAATAGATTTCACCACAAGAAACCTTGCTAATTGAGCTACACTCAAGTTTGCAACCACTGACATCTTACTACTTTATCAAAACAATTTTTTGCATTTATATACTGTTGCATTGGAAAGAATGTTGGAAGAATAAATCAGGAAAATATATGTATCCATGCTTGAATATCCATTGATTGTACCCTCTTTAGTCATAAATAGTAATGTTTTGGATTGTATTATCTAGCATATATACCTATGCATTCGAGCGTAATGTATAGCTTGACTCATCTATTCCAATACATTTTTTAATTGAATTTTGTATCGTGGCTGGCTACGCGCTATTCTAAATTATAGGCATGGTCATGAGTTTGGGTCAAGAATTATGGGACAATAAACCTATTATAACTCTTATCCTTATTCATCACACATTAATACTCTTTAATAAAATCGGTCATAACTCTTATGCTAGGAGAGTGAAGGGACAGACATGTTGAGACACAGAAACATATCAAAATTTGGAGAAAGAATATTTTCCCTTTCGACATTAAGTATGGATTAAGTTTTGGTACTTGAGAATGAAGAGTAGATTAGTTTCATGAAACTAAGTTTGATAGAAAAATCACTTTCAAATATTTAATAAGCATTGGATAATAAAATGGACTAGTCAAAGCTGTGCTTTGGAGATCGTATTCTGACAACACAATGGATTCATTTGTGGAACGGAAACATTGTTATATTTCATTGACAATGGATCATGCCCAGGGCAACTTAATTAAACTGTAGGTTTTCCACGTTTAATATGTACAACTAACTCGATCAGATCCTTATGAATATATTTATCCAACTGTTATTCTCAGGGAATTACAACTGTTTTCATACATAAATCTTGATCTCCATTGCTTTTCCATGTTTGTGCGTCAATGTAGAAGTGGTCGGACAAGATAAGCCTAATGTTTGCGAGATACGGAGTAGGTTCTTAGCTATAGGAGAGGTACGTGTTCAATGATATGCTCAACCGGGACATACCAACTGCTTGATTGAGTATGTAGCATGCACCTCAGTATCTTCCTCTCTATAGGTACTCTGTTCCCTTTGCTCCGTCTGTTTTTCTTTTTCAGTACATCAATTCTTTGTTCTGAAGCACACCACTTGTAAAGCAATAAATGTTGATCGTGGTTGTAACACCGTCGCACTTGGAAAATTATAATCTGTGATTATGGGTTAGCAAAGTGCCAGCTTTGGCTCCCCATCTAAAATGTACTGACATCACTTAAACCTTCAGGGTTGTATCATCTCTGAGCTTTAGGTAGCTGTTATATTAGTTAGCTTTAGGTATAAGTCTGTGACTTATTATCGGTGATTATAAGTTAACGCCAGATCTTATAAGCTCATTGCATGCCCTCAAATCGATAATCCTGAACCAACTTAAAACTTTTTTGGGTGACTTATAAGTTGGTGGTGTTTTAAGTCACTTTTTTTCACTTTTTAACTTATAAGTAGGTGACTTATTTGAAACCAAACAGGTCTTTAGGTAGAATATATTAGTTAACGCTCTTAATCGTTGCATGCCCTCAAATCGATAATCTCAAGATTACCTTTTTTGGGTTGTATTTTCACTCTTTTTTCTCTCTTAACGGAATGTCAACGATGAATAACTTGATGTACTAAGAACTCAAGATTTTTTTTTTCATACGGAATTATCTTTGATGTCATCACATTATCTTTATTCATCACACATTAATACTCTTAATAAAATCGGTCATAACTCTTATGCTAGGAGAGTGAAGGGACAGACATGTTGAGACACAAAAACATATCAAAATTTGGAGAAAGAATATTTTCCCTTTCGACATTAAGTATGGATTAAGTTTTGGTACTTGAGAATGAAGAGTAGATTAGTTTCATGAAACTAAGTTTGATAGAAAATCACTTTTGAATATTTAATAAGCATTGAACAATAAAATGGACTAGTCAAAGCTGTGCTTTGGAGATCGTATTCGGACAGCAGAATGGATTCATTTGTGGAACGGAAACATTGTTATATTTCATTGACAATGGATCATGCCCAGGGCGACTTAATTAAACTGTAGGTTTTCCATGTTTAATATGTACAACTAACTCGATCAGATCCTTATGAATATATTTATCCAACTGTTATTCTCAGGGAATAACAACTGTTTTCATACATAAATCTTGATCTCCATTGCTTTTCCATGTTTGTGCGTCAATGTAGAAGTGGTCGGACAAGATAAGCCTAATGTTTGCGAGATCCACTGCTGGCCGCCCGATGCTGCCTGCTGCCGTCCGATTTCCGTCACGCTTCGCCTCCCACCCGCAGGCCCCCACGCCAGCGCTGCAGCTCCAGCGGGCCTCGCACAGCCTCACCTGCCTCAATCGCCCATCACTATGGATGAAAACGGCACGGATATATTGGATCATGCCCAGGGCCACTTAATTAAACTGTAGGTTTTCCATGTTTAATATGTACAATTAACTCGATCAGATCCTTATGAATATATTTATCCAACTGTTATTCTCAGGGAATTACAACTGTTTTCATACATAAATCTTGATCTCCATTCCTTTTCCATGTTTGTGCGTCAATGTAGAAGTGGTCAAGATAAGCCTAATGTTTGCGAGATCCACTGCTGGCCGCCCGATGCTGCTTGCTGCCGTCCGATTTCCGCCACGCTCGCCTCCCACCCGCAGCCCCCCCACGCCAGCGCTGCAGCTCCAGCGGGCCCCGCACAGCCTCACCTGCCTCAATCGCCCATCACAACGGGAAAAAAAATGCACAGCGGCGGGGGCAACGACAGAGACGAAATCCGCCGCCTGCGACCCCACCTGCGACCTCCGCCCGCCGCGAGCCCGCCTGCGACCTCCGCCGCCGCGCGCCGTGGCCGCATCGCCCCGCAGTAGCGCCGCCGCTACTGGGTCCGGCTACAGCGCGGAGGCGCCCCCGGCCATCTCGCTTGTGGGGCTCGGCGGCGCAGCCGCGCGGCATGGCCCCGGAGCAGCGCCGTTGGGTAGACCTGACAAGCTGCTGATGTTCATCCCCATCCACAACGCCCAAATCTGGTGAGTTCATGTCGATCCACTGCATATGAGAACAGATCCCAGGATAAAAAACCCTTCCTTTACCCCCGTCGTCCGTACAGACCCTCCGCCGTCGTCCTCCACGGCTTCTACCGACGCGTACTGGGCCAATCTATATTTGCTCAAATTGAGGTGATGCAGCTTTTAGGTGCTAAGATTAGTTTGCAGGTTCCTTTTAATTTTCTTGATGTTTAGGAATCCCAAACTGTGCAAGCAGTCCTGCTGCATCCTTTAGTACGTGGTAAGTCCATTGCATCTCCGGTTACTGCTTTGGAAGACCTCCATGGTTTACTTTTGTGCTTATTTTATTCAGTTACTGCTGCAGGCACCTCCAGCAATGAACTCTCAATGGTTGATGCTTCATCCATATTACCGTCTCTGTCAATGGTTGATGCTCCATCCATATTGTAGGTCTGTTACAGAGGGAGTATATTTTAACTCTTTGGCCTAGCATCCCTACTGTAGGTCTGTTACATCTGTTGGAATCCATCAGTTCTGCAGTCCCAAAATCCATAAACTTTAGTTATGAGACAATTTTAATGGATTAATTGGTATATTGGAGATGCTTTGTACAATTTTATAATGGGCCAATAATAAACAATTAAAGATCAAGCCTTGCATTCTAAAGCATTGATACGCACTCAGGGTGTTAGAATTAATTACTCCTTTATGTAATCCCCTAGCTTCCTGAGCTTGGCTGGACAGGCCCTTTCACACTCGGCTGGCCCCTTGGGCCACCCTCCTATAATCTCTATATATGTAAACACTCTGCAATCTATCAATTATCATCCAAAGCCTGTTGGCTTAACTCTCTATCATGGTATCGACGACTAATCTGTCCTGCGTCTTCCCTCGCTTCGCTTTTCTGGCGCCGCTTCGGCGCTTCCGCCATGGCCAGCGTTCGCTCGCCGCTCTTCGGCTTGCCTTCCACGGCCGCCACACATACTACGACGGCCCTCAAGACACCCTTGACGGCAACCGCGCCCGCCGCTTCGACGGCCTCCGCGCGCTTCTTGATTTTAAGCGGCGGTGCGCTTCTTCGACGGCCACCACACAAGCATCTTCGTCGTCCCACCACCGCGCTTCTGCTCGCTGCCGCCGCCCAAGCCATGGCGATTCCTCCGGCTCTGGCGCCTCGTTGCCGCCACCAAGCAGCGGCCAAACTTCGCGATGAAGCCATCGCCGCCGCCAAGAAACTGGAAGACGAGGCCGCTGCTCTGCAGTCCTCCAACGCCGAGCGCAGTCAGCTCCTTCAAGAGGAGGCGGACCTTCTCAAGTTCGCCACCGCCGCCAGAACGCGTCGCGCGCCGCCGCCGCCGCTCTCTTCGACACGCAGCGCCTTGCAGTTGACGCTTCGAGCGACAGTTTCGCCTCACATGACCGGCCAATACCGAGTCCCTCGCGACGACACCTTCAAGATGACGACACGCGCTCCGTCACCTCCGAGGCCGCGCCATCGCCACCTTCATAGCCAAAGCCGCCGCCGCGCGTAACATCAAGAATTTGATCTCCATCGCCCTTGATCTGCAGTCCTCCAACTACTCCAAATGGCGTGGCTACGTTCTTCGCCCCGGCCGCCT